GAGATGCTAAGGGCTGACCACAGGAACAGGACCAAGAGATGCTAAGGGCTGACCACAGGAACAGGACCAAGAGATGATGCTACCACAGGGCCAAGAGATGCTATGGGCTGACCACAGGAACAGGACCAAGAGATGCTAAGGGCTGACCAGGAAGAGGAACCAAGAGATGCTAGGGCTGACCACAGGAAGAGGACCAAGAGATGCTAAGGGGCTGACCACAGAAGAGGACCCCACGAGATGCTAAGGGCTGACCACAGGAACAGGACCAAGAGATGCTAAGGGCTGACCATGGGAACAGGACCAAGAGATGCTAAGGGCTGACCACAGGAAGAGGGACCAAGAGATGCTAAGGGCTGACCACAGGAAGAAGGACCAAGAGGATGCTAAGGGCTGACCACAGAACAGGAGGACCAAGAGATGCTAAGGGCTGACCACAGGAAGAGGACCAAGAGATGCTAAGGAGCTGACCACAGGAAGAGGACCAAGAGATGCTAAGGGCTGACCACAGGAACAGGACCAAGAGATGCTAAGGGCTGACCACAGGAAGAGGACCAAGAGATGCTAAGGGCTGACCACAGGAAGAGGACCAAGAGATGCTAAGGGCTGACCACAGGAACAGGACCAAGAGATGCTAAGGGCTGACCACAGGAACAGGACCAAGAGATGCTAAGGGCTGACCACAGGAAGAGGACCACGAGATGCTAGGGCTGACACAGGAAGACCACCAAGATGCTAAGGGCTGACCACCAGAAGAGGACCAAGAGATGCTGACCACAGGAACAGGACCAAGAGATGCTAAGGGCTGACCACAGGAACAGGACCAAGAGATGCTAAGGGCTGACCACAGGAACAGGACCAAGAGATGCTAAGGGCTGACCAAGAGGACCAGAGATGGGGCTGACCACAGAAGATGCTAAGGGCTGACCACAGGAACAGGACCAAGAGATGCTAAGGGCTGACCACAGGAAGAGGACCAAGAGATGCTAAGGGCTGACCACAGGAAGAGGACCAAGCCTGATGCTAAGGGCTGACCACAGGATGCTAAGGGCTGACCACAGGAAGAGGACCAAGAGATGCTAAGGGCTGACCACAGGAACAGGACCAAGAGATGCTAAGGGCTGACCACAGGAACAGGACCAAGAGATGCTAAGGGCTGACCACAGGAACAGGACCAAGAGATGCTAAGGGCTGACCACAGGAAGAGGACCAAGAGATGCTAAGGGCTGACCACAGGAACAGGACCAAGAGATGCTAAGGGCTGACCACAGGAAGAGGACCAAGAGATGCTAAGGGCTGACCACAGGAAGAGGACCAAGAGATGCTAAGGGCTGACCATGGGAACAGGACCAAGAGATGCTAAGGGCTGACCACAGGAAGAGGACCACGAGATGCTAAGGGCTGACCACAGGAAGGACAGGACCAAGAGATGCTAAGGGCTGACCACAGGAAGAGGACCAAGAGATGCTAAGGGCTGACCACAGGAAGAGGACCACGAGATGCTAAGGGCTGACCACAGGAAGAGGACCACGAGAGATGCTAAGGGCTGACCACAGGAAGAGGACCAAGAGATGCTAAGGGCTGACCACAGGAAGAGGACCACGAGATGCTAAGGGCTGACCACAGGAAGAGGACCAAGAGATGCTAAGGGCTGACCACAGGAAGAGGACCAAGAGATGCTAAGGGCTGACCACAGGAAGAGGACCACGAGATGCTAAGGGCTGACCACAGGAAGAGGACCACGAGATGCTAAGGGCTGACCACAGGAAGAGGACCACGAGATGCTAAGGGCTGACCACAGGAAGAGGACCACGAGATGCTAAGGGCTGACCACAGGAAGAGGACCACGAGATGCTAAGGGCTGACCACAGGAAGAGGACCACGAGATGCTAAGGGCTGAGTGAAGGGATAACAAGACAGAAGGAAGGAAAGCAAGACAGAAACATGGCACATTGGGAGAACTTCACAAAGCTCCAGCTTCAGTCCTTGCAATGCCAGAAAACCATGTAAGATCCTATACAGGTCAGTTTGCTGCATTTGTTTGAGATAGAAGATACATACATGTGAAATTGGATAAATCTGTGGTACAGTCCTCAGCATCAGAGCAGCAATCTTTCATCTTGCCTGAAAAACTGCCTTCCTTCTGACCAAGCTCCGTCTAGGACATCAGAGTTACATGCATTAGATGTTAGATCAGTCACATTATCTGAGGATCCATCACTTGGAGCACTCATGGAGTTTCTAACCATGAACCAGAAATCTGTTATGGACCATTATCCAGCCTCATGTAAGAATGTCGAGTTTTGATTGGTTCACGTGACTCTGAGAAAATACCATGTACACCCATCACGATCCGCAAGCAGGGAGTACAAAAGTCATATCATCCCGCCACGCCTCGGTGACCACGCGAACAGAGAAAAGCGTGCATCGCCAAGCCTTTAGTAACTTGCGCTGCATTGAGGTCAATCGATCAGCTGTTGTCAACAAGGAAATGTTTTGCCACAACAACTGAGAATGAAATTGAAACAAAACTTTGTTTGATTTAGTATAAACAAAATCGGCTAGATAAATTCCTCTGGCTAGGGGAATACAACCTTACTCAGGACTTATTAAACCCCCTGTATTTCCCTCGACACAATGTGATAACTTATATTAGCATAGCATTAGTAAACTATATCAGCTCTCATCCCTACATTGGAACAAACAGTACTCGATAGAGTGATATGCGCAGTCCGAGCTCTCAAACAGTATCTTTAGAGGACTGAACATTTCAGATGAAGTACCATTGTCCCTGGATTGACTGTCAAGAAAACTCTGACAAGGATATCACCACAGTTGCGGCCTTGGATACAAAGACTATTAAACTAACTTACACTATGGCAAGGATCAGCTACAGTGTATGCATCTCTCAGGCCACGTGAGTGATGGGCCATATCCTCTTCTCTTGCGTAGTGGACAACTTTATAACTGGAACAGATTAGGCATCATCTAACATGTTTATGTCCTTTTTTAACTGTGTAATGTCTCAGAGGATGTACCTGGGATCTGCTGTTGCCACTCGGTCCATTGCTTCCGTCTAAGCCCCTTTGTGGGGTCGGTAGGTTGACATGAACACTTGGATCTTTCTTGCAGTCTAACGCTGCACATGGTTGACTGAGGCTGGTCAGTCTAACGCTGCACATGGTTGACTGAGGCTGGTCAGTCTAATGCTGCACATGGTTGACTGAGGCTGGTCAGTCTAACGCTGCACATGGTTGACTGAGGCTGGTCATTGGCTATTATCCAGTCAATGATAAAACCCATATTCACATCTTACAGATGAGAACTGAACCTGCAGTGATGACTTTATGAAGTCATTGTGATGTCATCAAATGTAACCATTAACCAAGAATGACCTTAACAAAATTTCCACCAATTATAATATGGTAGCAGCTTAAAAATGTTCAAATGTTTCACCACAACCACATGTAGTTATCTTCTATTGATGGTAGCAGTCAGTACTAAACAAGCCTCATGTATGATTTGGCACTCACGCGTTTGTATTCGTAAGAGCTTTATACATTATCATTGATATTTTATACTTATCCTGACTCATGCTTAGTTGTTTGTCTCTTTCTTCTTGCGAATGATAGTGGAACACTTGAATCCCCTTTTGAAGGGAGCGTAAAAAAAGCGGATGTAAAATCATTCACCCAGTGTTATCTCCCTTGTGACTCTTTTAGGCGGGAAACCACGTCACGTGTTTGGACGCCCCTCACTCTCTCCTGATTACAGGGAATCCAGAGTGCCATGAGGGGAGGTTGGGAGGGTTTACCTCATGAGTCAGGATAAGTATAAAATATCAATTTTAATCTAAAAATTACATATTTTCCCTTATCCTGACTCATGCTTAATTGCTTGTCAAGCCACTCTGGATTCCATGCTGATTTACGTCCTGCATACCTCCTGTGGGAACTTCTTAAAGTATATACTGATCCTTCCTTCCAGCTTCCTCTGATGAGTTTGGGGGGACCACAATATGTCAGATTTTCTGGAACCGCTTCTCCTGACAGTAAAAATGGATTTATACAACTCCATGATTGATTTCCGCATCAATGGAGAAGTGACCCTTCTTCATATACGAGTAAGTCCTTACAAGTATAGGGTCTGTCACTCATGCTAGCCTATCTTTAGACGTGCGCACGGACTCTAAGCTTCAACTCTCTGAGTGTCGGCTTTTACAAGTCATGTGATAAAGGGTGAGATTCATCTCAGCGTCTTTGAGGAACCATCAATTGTTATGCTACAACAAGGGGCCCAAAGTGGTGGATACAGGAGACATCCACGGTAGCAATGTTTCTGAGGTAGTGGTTGGCAAATACTGTCTCCGACTTCCAATAGCAGCCTCCCATTATTGTCGAGATTGAGCAATTTCCATGCAGAGCGAGTGCTCTGACTTCATGAGGATTGGAGGCTCATGGTGGCTCAAGACCTGCTGCTTTGTGGGCTCTCAATATGATGGCTCTCATCCATATTGATATTGTTGTACGTGAGACCTCTGTAGGCGTCTCCGTAGATAGACGGATGAAAAGGCGCTTGAATTTTCGTCTCCTCATCTTAGACCTCTGTAGGTAGATTTGTAATGCTCTGACTGAACATAAGGATAGATCCTGGGTATCCTGTGGTCCAAGGACTGACGGAAATGCTGGGATGTGGAATTGCCTGTCTGGTTGACCGGGCAATTGGTTCTTTGCTATGAAGTCCCATCTCAATCCCAGATGTATGATGTTGTGATGTGCATAAAATCGTATTCGTTCAAAGTCCAGAGCATGTATTTCTGACATCTGAGCTCCTGTACTTGCCAAGGCGACCAGGAACAGAGTTTTATGAGTTAAAAACTCATAGGATGTCCTTCCTAGTGGTTCATAACCATCACTGGTGAGATGCTGTAAGACTACGTTGAGATCCCAAGCAGGTGCTTTAAATTTCTTTTGTTGGTCTTCCAACTTAAAGGAGCATAGTAGAGCTAGTATCTCTGGTACTTTAGTCAGTTTCACACTTGTCTTCATAGTGATAACTGTACTGAGGGCCGCTAGGTATGTTAGATAGTGTTGAACCTTTTAGCCATCTTGTTTGTCTTAGATGACAAAGATATACCGCCACTTGTGGATGTGTAGCTTCCATTGCCGTGAAACCCTTCTTTAAGGCGTATTTCTCAAAGCTTGGCCACTTGTCGTCATACAAGCTGCGAGTTGATCTAAGTAGAGCTAGTGTGACTGTGTTCGCTGCTCTGCTCAAGCAAGTTTTGATACGTTCCATGCGTGTAGCTGAAGTACTGTTGGGTTGCCGTGTGCTTGCTTGGTGTGCAGATGAATTAGTAGGTTCGGCCACTGTGGAAGTTGTAGGGTTGGATTTCCAAGTTCATGAATGAGGATGGGAAACCATACCCACGCTGGCCAGTAGGGCGCGACCAAAATCAGTTGCAGGTTCTTTGTCTGCTTGATTTTCTGCAATACCTGCGGTATTAGAGTTAAAGGTGGAAACGCATATGCGTTTATTCCTTCCCATGGGATGCTTAGAGTGTCTGTTGCCCATGCTTGTGGATCCGGAATCGGAGAGGCAAATGTTAGTATTTGTTTGTTGAACCTTGTAGCAAACAGATCTATTAGTTGAGATCCTATCTTTTGATATTTCCTGTGTCCAGATATATCGGGATGTGAAAATATGCATCCTGTAGATCTATGGTAGTCTAATGGACGTATGAGTTGTCACAGTTGATAATCTTGGTTGAATTTCCTCATGTTGTATATAAGTCGGAACTTTTCGTTAGAATTTTTTCTTTGGTACTAAGAAGATTGGGGAGTAAAACCCGGGTGTGATGAATTTCTGTTATATTTCTTCGATCGCCTCCTTCTTGAGTAGAGTTGTGATGGCGTCGAGTAAGTTCTCCCTCTGGTCGGCAGCATAGTTGTGGGCCAGAGAGTTGCTTGTCAATGGTGGAACTGCTTGCAGTTGTATCTTGTATCCTCTACCTAGGATCTGGGATACGTAATCATCCTGAAGAATTCCCCAATTCTTCCAGTAGCGTTTCTGTGTCGGAAAATATAATTCCTCCGTCATCTTCGGATTTAGAGGTTTCTCGTTCAGGAGATGGTTGCCACTCTGATTCTTTCCTGCGTGGCGATCTGCGTGGAAACCTACGTGGAGATCTGCGTGGAGACCTGCGTGGAGACCTTCTTGAATGCTCCTGTTGGTTGTCCGTGTCAGAGGAGGAGGATCTGCGATGATCCAGTGAACGTCTGGTTCTGTTCCTTCGCTTCGGTGAAGGTGTCCTAGTACATCGTAGAGTGTGCGATCCTTCGTACATGCTTCCTCCTTTGCGAGTGCATTCGCGCATGCTTTCATGAGTGCCTTCGTGCATGCTTCCTCCTTTGTGAGTGCTTCCATGCGTGCTTCCGTGTAAGTTTTCGTGAGTGCATTCGCGCATGCTTCCTCCTTCGTGAGTGTCTTCATGCATGCTTCCGTGAGTGCACTCGTGCATGCTCCCGTGAGTTCTCTCGTGCAGACTGCTGTCATCAGTGGGCTGTGATCTGCTGACTGCTTTCGATGTAGATGGGGCCTCCGTCGCTGCTTTCTCTTGTGGGAATCTTCGCTTCATCAGGTCTATCATCTGCGTAAACTGCTGCATGAAGACCCCAGGGTTGAAATTCTGCGACGACGACTGCTACTGCTGTAGCTGCACTGCGGATGATGTACTGAGAGTGTCGAGGCTTCTGCCCCGGACTGCGGCACTTGTGACGAACTGCCATCTCTATCTGATGTCTGCGTTGTGATGACTGCTGCTGTTGCTGTAGATGAAGACCTTGTCTTCTTCCTCACTGGCACTTCAGGGATGAGGATGGGAGGCTCATCATAGACGTCTACTTCATCTGCTGGGATGATCTCAGTAGCAAACGACCTCGTCTGAAGTGCTGCCCCATGAGAAGACTTCGCCGGAGTCTTAGTAGATGACTTCTTCTTCTGGGAAGACGATGCCCTCGTCTTCTTCGACTGCGGTGAGGTTATAGTTGATGTAGACGACCTTTTCTTGGAGCCGGAGCTGCCATCAGACACAGCAACCTGCTCCGTAGACGCAGCCGGTAAACTACTGGAATGGTGAATGTCAGTAGGCAACAACAAACGGTTATTAACACAATCATTTGGTTTAGACATGACTTGAGAAAGTCGTCTACTCCTGTCCTTGGCACGCCTAAAAATGGAATATGAATAATTATTAAATTGAACTTCAGTTAAATGCTGACAAAACGGACAGCGATAGCTGGAAGAACATGGAGAAGTACAATTAGGACATATTAAGTGTGGATCAGCAAATGACAATCGGAGTCTACAACGACTGCAAGATTTCATAAAAAAATCACCATGATGAAAACACATGTCAACAACGTGAACAAATGCAGATAATTTTGATCAAATTTCAAACCATATTGTTGGTATATCAATCCTAAAATCTTATACAGCTAATTTAGTAGCAAGGCCTAAAAGTTTAAAGAATATAACGCCCGTATAGGGGACCCAGGCCCTCTCACAACCGTCCTCAAGGGCGAAGAAGAAGAGAGTGAGGGGCATGTCCAAACATGTGACATGGTTTCCCACCTAAAAGAGTCACAAGGGAGATAACACTGGGTGAGTGACTTTACGTCCGCTTTTTTTAGGCTCCCTTCAAAAGGGGATTCAAGGGTTCCACTATCATTCGCAAGAAGAAAGAGACAAGCAATTAAGCATAAGTCAGGATAAGGAAAAATAATGATAATTGTTTTAACACTACCTGTACCACACGAATTCCACAGTACATAAATTTGAAAGTACAATAGGAAATATTATTAGGTTCCCACGATTCCACAAGGGGAGATAACTCCCACAGTATTGGTGGACTACATGGAAGCCATACCACTAAACTTGTGAACAAATTTCAGGTAAAAGCTAATCAAGTGATAGATGTAGTATTCTTAGAACTACTATCATTGTTGATTTTGTACAAAATATGATTCTGTGGAACATATGACTGAAGGATGTTCGCCTTGCCATCAGGTCAGCAGAGAGTACCACGACTGCCACCACCTGGCATCACTCAGCCCCCACGTGTTCGCTGTCGCGGAGCAAGCACATCGCCACCTGGTCTCGTGTCAAGTGTCCCAGTGCTGTGTGATTAGTGGTGAGAGTGGGTCGGGGAAGACGGAATCATGCAAATTCCTGGTTCAGCATCTCCTCCGTGTTTCCGAGAGTACCGAAACTGGACTGAGCAGCAAGATAAACCAGGTACACTTAGATACACCTGACCGAGCAGCAAGATAAACCAGGTACACTTAGATAGACCTTACTGAACAGCAAGATAAACCAGGTACACTTAGATACACCTGACTGAGCAGCAAGATAAACCAGGTACAGTTAGATACACCTGACTTAGCAGCAAGATAAACCAGGTACACTTAGATACACCTGACTGAGCAGCAAGATAAACCAGGTACACTTAGATACACCTGACTGAGCAGCAAGATAAACCAGGTACACTTAGATACACCTTACTGAACAGCAAGATAAACCAGGTACACTTAGATACACCTGACTGAGCAGCAAGATAAACCAGGTACACTTAGATACACCTCACTGAACAGCAAGATAAACCAGGTACACTTAGATACACCTTACTGAACAGCAAGATAAACCAACACTAACACATGTGAACTCTTCTGTTATGTCCCGACCGTCATCGTTGATACAGGTGAAACCTTCTGTTCTGTCAACAGTGATTGTTGATACAGTTGAGACAGTAATTGTTGATACAGGTGAGACAGTGATTGTTGATACACGTGAGACAGTGATTGTTGATACAGGTGAACCCTCTTCTGGAAGCTTTCGGCAATGCCAGGACAGTGATGAACGACAACTCCAGCCGATTCGCAAAGTGTCTTGAGGTCAGCTACTCGATGGATGGAGGTGTCATTGGAGGTCAGTAAAAGTACACATGAATTATGTAAATGTATGATTTCTGTTACAGCGGGGGGCTAGTGGTTAAAGCGTTCGCTCGTCATGCCGAAGACTTGGGTTTAATTGCTTACATGGGTACAATGTGTGAAACCCATTTGTGGTGTTCCCGCCATGATATTGCTGGAATATTGTTATTAAAGTGCAAAACCCAACTCCCAACATCTGGTTTCTGTTACAGCCAAGATGTCCCAACATCTGATTTCTGTTACAGCCAAGATGTCCCAACATCTGGTTTCTGTTACAGCTAAGATGTCCCAACATCTGGTTTCTGTTACAGCCAAGATGTCCCAACATCTGGTTTCTGTTACAGCCAAGATGTCCCAACATCTGGTTTCTGTTACAGCTAAGATGACCCAACATCTGGTTTCTGTTACAGCCAAGATGTCCCAACATCTGGTTTCTGTTACAGCGAAGATGTCCTAACATCTGATTTCTGTTACAGCCAAGATGTCCCAACATCTGGTTTCTGTTACAGCTAAGATGTCCCAACATCTGGTTTCTGTTACAGCCAAGATGTCCCAACATCTGATTTCTGTTACAGCCAAGATGTCCCAACATCTGGTTTCTGTTACAGCTAAGATGTCCGAATATCTGGTTTCTGTTACAGCCAAGATGTCCCAACATCTGGTTTCTGTTACAGCCAAGATGTCCCAACATCTGGTTTCTGTTACAGCTAAGATGTCCCAACATCTGGTTTCTGTTACAGCCAAGATGTCCCAACATCTGGTTTCTGTTACAGCCAAGATGTCCCAACATCTGGTTTCTGTTACAGCCAAGATGTCCCAACATCTGATTTCTGTTACAGCCAAGATGTCCCAACATCTGGTTGTCCCAACATCTGTTACAGCTAAGATGTTCAAATATCTGGTTTCTGTTACAGCTAAGATGTCCCAACATCTGGTTTCTGTTACAGCCAAGATGTCCCAACATCTGGTTTCTGTTACAGCTAAGATGTTCGAACATCTGGTTTCTGTTACAGCTAAGATGTCCCAACATCTGGTTTCTGTTACAGCTAAGATGACCCAACATCTGGTTTCTGTTACAGCTAAGATGTTCCAACATCTGGTTTCTGTTACAGCTAAGATGACCCAACATCTGGTTTCTGTTACAGCTAAGATGACCCAACATCTGGTTTCTGTTACAGCTAAGATGACCCAACATCTGGTTTCTGTTACTAAGATGTTCAACATCTGGTTTCTGTTATAAGATGACCCAACATCTGGTTTCTGTTACAGCTAAGATGTCCCAACATCTGGTTTCTGTTACAGCCAAGATGTCCCAACATCTGGTTTCTGTTACAGCCAAGATGTCCCAACATCTGGTTTCTGTTACAGCCAAGATGTCCCAACATCTGGTTTCTGTTACAGCTAAGATGACCCAACATCTGGTTTCTGTTACAGCTATGATGTCCCAACATCTGATGTCCCAACATCTGGTTTCTGTTACAGCCAATGAACATGGTTTCTGTTACAGCAAGATGTCCCAACATCTGGTTTCTGTTACAGCTGATGACCCAACATCTGGTTTCTGTTACAGCTGTCCCAACATCTGGTTTCTGTTACAGCTGTCCCAACATCTGGTTTCTGTTACAGCTACAGATGACCCAACATCTGGTTTCTGTTACAGCTAAGTCCCAACATCTGTTTCCAGCTACATCTGGTTTCTGTTACAGCTAAGATGTCCCAACATCTGGTTTCTGTTACAGCTAAGATGTCCCAACATCTGGTTTCTGTTACAGCCAAGATGTCCCAACATCTGGTTTCTGTTACAGCCAAGATGTCCCAACATCTGATTTCTGTTACAGCCAAGATGTCCCAACATCTGGTTTCTGTTACAGCTAAGATGTTCGAATATCTGGTTTCTGTTACAGCTAAGATGACCCAGTATCTGCTGGAGAAGTCCCGAGTGGTTCACCAGGGTCGAGGAGAGAGAAACTTCCACATCTTTTACTGGATGTTGTCCGGCATCACTCCAGAGGAGGCCAGCTGCTGCCTGTTTGACAAAGAGTTTGACTTCAGGTTTGTATTCTTCATGCTGTGGATGTCATGGTAACCAAGACAAATATTAGTCACATTAACACCAGGAAACAACAAAAGATGCAACCAAAATGTTTTCAGCATTTTTCAGGTAAATTCTTTGGTAACGCAGATTTGGAATTTAGTCTGTACTTTTGGAAAGTGCGTTTTGAATGTTTTTCATCCCTACTGTGTGTGCAGGTATCTTCAGAGTGATGGCCGTGACGTCCAGCACAAGCTGGTGTCTGAGGACCGCCAAAAGTACTGGGATGTCAAGAACTGTCTCAAATACGTGGGATTTGCTAGTGAGGTAAGAGAACGTCAACACAAACACGTGTGACACGAGCAGATTCAGTTGGAATATTGACAGGATGCATGATGCAGACAACTCCCGCACCACTACCGCACGACTGTCATACCACGCCCACACCATGCCCACACCACTACCACACGACTGTCACACCACGCCCACACCATGCCCACACCACTACTGCACGACTGTCATACCACGCCCACACCACTACCACACGACTGTCACACAATCGCGTCTACACCACTACCACACGACTGTCATACCATGCCCACACCACACCACTACCGCACGACTGTCATACCACGCCCACACCACTACCACACCACTACCGCACGACTGTCATACCACGCCCACACCACTACCACACCACTACCGCACGACTGTCATACCACCCCACCACTACCACACCACTACCGCACGACTGTCACACCACGCCCACACCACTACCACACCACTACCGCCGCGACTGTCACACCATGCCCACCACACCACACCACTACCGCCATCGACTGTCACCACTACCACACCACTACCACTGTCACCCGCACGACTGTCATACCACCACCACACCACACCACTACCACCACGCGCACGACTGTCACACCACGCCCACACCACTACCACACCACTACCGCACGACTGTCATACCACGCCCTCACTAATACCACACCACTACCGCACGACGATCAAACCATGCTCACATCACACCCACACCACGCCCACAGCTCTACCACACCACTACCACACCACTACCACATGACTGTCATACCACAGATCCTCTATCAATCATATCCAGCCTTAACTCCTTCGTTTGTTTTTAGAAACAAGAATACCAAGCCGCCTCCTGTCACTGACAGTCAATTTTCTGGGCCTACCTGCGCCTCCCTTGTGCTCAATGCCATATCCATTTGCAATATTTTTCAAAACACGATAAACAGTGGACAAATGGATGCCTGTTCTACTTGAAATCACTTTAGGTGATCTGATGTCCTTGTTATGATACTCTAAAATCAACTTCCTCTTCTCTAAATCAGTCATACTGAGGATCACTGAAAATGTCATTTGCTAGCAAGTAAACAAAGAGGGATAACTCTTCACAAACTAATGAAAAAGGATTAACAGAGTTGTCTCTCTTGAATGAAACCAAGCACTTGATAGCTGGTCAAGGTTGTTTATACTAGAAATCCAATTAAACATATTCCTAAAATTCTCAATAATTCTGGTCATACTATATACTCATGAATATCTATTGAAAGGTGAGGATCCTCCGTTTTGCATCCCTTGTGATGAAAGAATCACGGTCAAAAGCATGTCTTGCTTGACTGTGTTGAATATTTCATCACAAGGGATAACTATTTCAAATCATGAACTATGAAGGATCTTTTTAATAAAATGTTCTCAGTTAATTATTGCATTTTTAAAAGAATTAGATTTGTTAGATGATTTATAAATAGATAAATATCTTTGGATTGGAAGTTTAAATTAGTAACTCAGATTGTTAGTGGCTGTATCCTCAAAGGTGGTTAAAGGACTGTAAAATTATTGTCCTCCTGTAAGTCCACAAACATTCAAAGTAAATTCAAACCCTCCACTATTCTCAATCGTAGTATATGTGTCTTTTTTAATGTATGGCTAGATGTATCTAAATTGCTAAAGGCTGAAGGGATGGTGTAAACCCAACTAGGGCCCATGCAGGAAGCAAATGTACTGTAAGTCCCCATGGTCCCTAGTATGGTGATCTACCTTCAGTTGTTGGCTATCTATAGCCTGTTTTTAAATTGTATTGTCATGTATAGTTAAAATATTTTAGACTCAATTACTAGTTTTATATTGATATCTGTGATAATCTGGTTGTTTTACTGTCCGTTGACAGAATTTTATAATTTATCTGTAATTGTTAATATATGTATAACTTTTTTTAATTTTTTATTTGCACATTTTTTCAAAGTAAAGGACACATGTAATCAATAGGATAGGTTGACAACTGCATGCTTTTAACACTTTCAAATTCTAAAATCAGAGTCTATATAACTATGGAAATAAATGTATGTTGGTCTATATTTATAACTTGATTTAGTCACAATATGGTTGAAATATTGACGCTGTGACTTAAAATCTTAATTCACTCACTCACTCACTCATACCACGCCCACACCACACCACACCACACCACACCACACCACCACACCACACCACACCACACCACACCACACCACACCACCACACCACACCACACCACACCACACCACACCACACCACACCAACAGCACCACACCACACCACACCACACCCACCCCACACCACACACACCACACCACACAAACAGCCACACCGCTCCCAGTGTCACCACTAACAGTCCACTCCCCCACCCCTGCCATACCTCTACTCCCCACCCCTGCCATACCTCTACTCCCCACTCCAGCCACACCTATACTCCCCCACCTGACACACCTCTACTCCCCCACTCCAGCCACACCTTTACTCCCCACCCTGCCACACCTATACTCCCATCCTGTCACACCTCTACTCCCCCACCCCTGCCACACCTCTACTCCCCCCACTCCTTCCACACCTCTACTCCCCAAGCCTGCCACACCTTTACTCCCCCACCCTGCCACATCTCTACTCCCCACCCCCTGCCACACCTCCACTCCCCCATCCTGACACACCCTTACTCCCCCCACCCTGTCACACCTCTACTCCCCCACCCCTGTCACACCTCTACTCCCCCACTCCTTCCACACCTCTACTCCCATCCTCCACTTTTCCCACACCACTGCCACACCACACATAGTGAAAGTTTGCTTTGAGACAGCCAGCTACCTCTCTGTCCTCTCTACAGGATGTGATGGGGCTGACCACTACTTTAGCAGCCATCTTACATCTGGGAAATGTACGCTTTGTGTCAATATTGGAGCATCAGGCCTGCGACGTCGACAACTACAACACGCTGCAGAAAGGTGAGCTTGACATTACTTGCCTGACAAAACTTTCATCTTCATGTGGGATCCCAGTGCCCTGATATGTGTACTTTTGAACACAAAATGTCACAAACATAATACTTAAGAAAAGCAAGATTTATGGATGTCAACTTTATTGTGAGTAACATGACGTTTTGGGTGTATGCTTGCTCCTTCATCAGGTGAATGGTAGTGAGTATAAGGGAGAATATATATATATATATATATATATATATATATATATATATATATGTGAGACACTTATAAAGAAAATATGTTTAACAAGTTAACAATGATGAGGAAAGAATATGTAATAAAAACATGAGGGCAGTGATACACTAAAGCAACATGATAACTGATAGGGTAAAGAATAACATAGGGAGGCCAGTGATACACTAAAGCAACATGGTAACTGATAGGGTAAAGAATAACATAGGGAGGCCAGTGATACACTAAAGCAACATGGTAACTGATAGGGTAAAGAATAACATAGGGAGGCCAGTGATACACTAAAGCAACATGGTAACTGATAGGGTAAAGAATAACATAGGGAGGCCAGTGATACACTAAAGCAACATGGTAACTGATAGGGTAAAGAATAACATAGGGAGGCCAGTGATACACTAAAGCAACATGATAACTGATAGGGTAAAGAATAACATAGGGAGGCCAGTGATACACTAAAACAACATGATAACTGACGGGGTAAAGAATAACATAGGAGGCCAGTGATACACTAAAGCAAACATGATAACTGATAGGGTAAAGAATAACATAGGAGGCCAGTGATACACTAAAAGCAACATGGTAACTGATAGGGTAAAGAATAACATAGGGAGGCCAGTGATACACTAAAACAACATGATAACTGACGGGGTAAAGAATAACATAGGGAGGCCAGTGATACACTAAAGCAACATGATAACTGACGGGGTAAAGAATAACATAGGGAGGCCAGTGATACACTAAAGCAACATGATAACTGATAGGGTAAAGAATAACATAGGGAGGGCAGTGATACACTAAAAAGCAACATGGTAACTGACGGGTAAAATAACATAGGGAGGCCAGTGATACACTAAAGCAACATGATAACTGATAGGGTAAAGAATAACATAGGGAGGCCAGTGATACACTAAAACAACATGATAACTGATAGGGTAAAGAATAACATAGGGAGGCCAGTGATACACTAAAACAACATGGTAACTGATAGGGGTAAAGAATAACATAGGGAGGCCAGTGATACACTAAAGCAACATGATAACTGATAGGGTAAAGAATAACATAGGGAGGCCAGTGATACACTAAAAGCAACATGATAACTGATAGGGTAAAGAATAACATAGGGAGGCCAGTGATACACTAAAACAACATGATAACTGATAGGGTAAAGAATAACATAGGGAGGCCAGTGATACACTAAAAAGCAACATGGTAACTGATAGGGTAAAAGGAAGAATAACATAGGAGGCCAGTGATACACTAAAACAACATGATAACTGATGACGGGTAAAGAATAACATAGGGAGGCCAGTGATACACTAAAACAACATGATAACTGATAGGGTAAAAGAATAACATAGGGAGGCCAGTGATACACTAAAGCAACATGATAACTGATAGGGTTAAAGAAATAACATAGGAGGCCAGTGATACACCAAAGCAACATGGTAACTGATAGGGTAAAGAATAACATAGGGAGGCCAGTGATACACTAAAGCAACATGATAACTGATAGGGTAAAGAATAACATAGGGAGGCCAGTGATACACTAAAACAACATGATAACTGATAGGGTAAAGAATAACATAGGGAGGCCAGTGATACACTAAAACAACATGGTAACTGATAGGGTAAAGAATAACATAGGGAGGCCAGTGATACACTAAAACAACATGATAACTGATAGGTACAAAGAATAACATAGGGAGGCCAGTGATACACTAAAGCAACATGGTAACTGATAGGGTAAAAGAATAACATAGGGAGGCCAGTGATACACTAAAACAACATGATAACTGATAGGGTTAAGAATAACATAGGGAGGCCAGTGATACACTAAAACAACATGGTAACTGATAGGGTAAAAGAATAACATAGGGAGGCCAGTGATACACTAAAAGCAACATGATAACTGATAGGGTAAAGAATAACATAGGGAGGCCAGTGATACACTAAAACAACATGGTAACTGATAGAGTAAAGAATAACATAGGGAGGCCAGTGATACACTAAAACAACATGATAACTGATAGGGTAAGGAAAGAATAACATAGGGAGGCCAGTGATACACTAAAGCAACATGATAACTGATAGGGTAAAAGAATAACATAGGGAGGCCAGTGATACACTAAAACAACATGATAAACTGATAGGGTAAAGAATAACATAGGGAGGCCAGTGATACACTAAAGCAACATGGTAACTGATAGGGTAAAGAATAACATAGGGAGGCCAGTGATACACTAAAACAACATGATAACTGATAGGGTAAAAGAATAACATAGGGGAGGCCAGTGATACACTAAAGCAACATGGTAACTGATAGGGTAAAGAATAACATAGGGAGGCCATGATACACTAAAAGCAACATGATAACTGATAGGGTAAAGAATAACATAGGGAGGCCAGTGATACACTAAAACAACATGATAACTGATAGGGTAAAGAATAACATAGGGAGGCCAGTGATACACTAAAACAACATGATGATAACTGATAGGGTAAAGAATAACATAGGGAGGCCAGTGATACACTAAAGCAACATGGTAACTGATAGGTAAAAGAATAACATAGGGGAGGCCAGTGATACACTAAAACAACATGATAACTTGTGGGGTAAAAGAATAACATAGGGAGGCCAGTGATACACTAAAGCAACATGATAACTGATAGGGTAAAGAATAACATAGGGAGGCCAGTGATACACTAAAGCAACATGGTAACTGATGCGGGTAAAAGAATAACATAGGGAGGCCAGTGATACACTAAAGCAACATGATAACTGATAGGGTAAAGAATAACATAGGGAGGCCAGTGATACACTAAAACAACATGATAACTGATACAGGGTAAAAGAATAACATAGGGAGGCCAGTGATACACTAAAGCAACATGGTAACTGATAGGGTAAAGAATAACATAGGAGGCCAGTGATACACTAAAACAACATGATAACTGATAGGGTAAAGAATAACATAGGGAGGCCAGTGATACACTAAAACAACATGATAACTGATAGGGTAAAGAATAACATAGGGAGGCCAGTGATACACTAAAGCAACATGGTAACTGATAGGGTAAAGAATAACATAGGGAGGCCAGTGATACACTAAAACAACATGATAACTGATAGGGTAAAGAATAACATAGGGAGGCCAGTGATACACTAAAACAACATGATAACTGATAGGGTAAAGAATAACATAGGGAGGCCAGTGATACACTAAAGCAACATGGTAACTGATAGGGTAAAGAATAACATAGGGAGGCCAGTGATACACTAAAACAACATGATAACTGATAGGGTAAAGAATAACATAGGGAGGCCAGTGATACACTAAAACAACATGATAACTGATAGGGTAAAGAATAACATAGGGAGGCCAGTGATACACTAAAGCAACATGGTAACTGATAGGGTAAAGAATAACATAGGGAGGCCAGTGATACACTAAAGCAACATGGTAACTGATAGGGTAAAGAATAACATAGGGAGGCCAGTGATACTGTATAAACATGCAAGAGGCCAGTGGGCTGAGTGGTGGTGATAAGCAGTAGTGATGAACAAGTAATTAAATTAGTGAGTCCCAAACATATGGTAGGTAGATTCCTTGGTCACGGTTGATTGCTGGCTGACATCTCCGTATGTCTATGGCTTCCTGAAGCTTCCTTTGGCGCCAGTTGTTGTTAGTGGACAAGATCTTGGTGGCTTCCCATTTGATGGTGTGGTCCTTGTTCTTGAGGATATGTTCTGATATGGCCGACTTCTGGTCCAGCTTGTTGACGGAAGCTTGGTGTTCCTTGAGTCTTGTGTTGACAGGTCGCCGTGTTTCCCGATGTACAGTTGTCCACAGTGCTGGATCCTCTGCCGTTGGCTCTGAGAAGATTCTTGAGGTCTTGCGGCTAGAGAATGTGACGTCAATACTGCTTTGGTTTTTTATGAGATTGGAGATTCACAATAAAGAAGTGTTGACATCCATAAATCTTGCCTTTCTTATGCATTCCACTTCTAAATGCCCTTCAAAGATTTAAACACAATACTTAACAAACACAATACTCTTCTGACAAACACAATACTTGACAAACACAATACTTAACAAACACAATACTTGACAAACACAATACTTAACAAACACAATACTCTTCTGACAAACACAATACTTGACAAACACAATACTTAACAAACACAATACTCTTCTGACAAACACAATACTTGACAAACACAATACTTAACAAACACAATCCTTGACAAACACAATGCTTGACAAACACATTGCTTGACAAACACAATACTTGACAAACACAATACTTGACAACCACAATCTTTGACAAAGTGTATAGCAAGCACAGGGTGTGACAAAAATGGGGTGTGACAAACAGAGGGTGTGACAAAAACAGGGTGTGACAGATTGGAAAACATTTTTCAACAGAGATGATAGGCGGCAGGGTTACCCTATTTTTGGGCCAAGTTGATACTTATTGCAAGTGGTATTTGCTGTTGATTTTGCTGAGATGGAGTTGGTGTTGCTAATGCTGTTGTGGTATTTTTCAGTGCTGCTTATTATGTTGTTGTTCTTTTAGTATGCAAGCTGTTGAGGGTGGAGTTTGAAGACCTGAGACTGTCCCTGGTGGAGGAGTCCATGACAGCGAGAGGTGAGGCACACAACTGTTGCCATAACAACAAGTACTTTTTGATAGAAGTGTAGTAGAACAAGTGTATGTATTTCAAGACATTCAGTAGGTCATTTAGTATCCTCTAGCACTGTGAAATCACCACAGGTATTGTAGAATCATCTCTTGTTGCAGGTGAGGAGTTGAGGCGCCCCCTATCTGTGAGCGAGGCAGAGGACAGTCGAGATGCTCTGGCCAAGGCCCTGTATTCTCGCTTGTTTAGCTGGCTTGTGAATGGAATAAACAACACCATTCAGCCCATAGATCCCAGGTCAGCTAGATACTTCCACATACAGTAAAGTTGTCAGGTCATAGATCCCAGGTCAGCTAGATACTTCCACATACAGTAAAGTTGTCAGGTCATACATCCCAGGTCAGCTAGATACTTCCACATCCAGTAAAGGTGTCAGGTCATAGATCCCAGGTCAGCTAGATACTTCCACATACAGTAAAGTTGTCAGGTCATAGATCCCAGGTCAGCTAGATACTTCCACATACAGTAAAGTTGTCAGGTCATACATCCCAGGTCAGCTAGATACTTCCACATCCAGTAAAGGTGTCAGGTCATAGATCCCAGGTCAGCTAGATACTTCCACATACAGTAAAGTTGTCAGGTCATAGATCCCAGGTCAGCTAGATACTTCCACATCCAGTAAAGGTGTCAGGTCATAGATCCCAGGTCAGCTAGATACTTCCACATACAGTAAAGTTGTCAGGTCATACATCCCAGGTCAGCTAGATACTTCCTCCTATGGTAAAGGTGTCAGGTCATAGATCCCAGGTCAGTCTTCCTCCTATGGTAAAGGTGTCATAGATCCCAGGTCAGCTAGATACTTCCTCCTATGGTAAAGGTGTCAGGTCATACATCCCAGGTCAGCTAGATACTTCCTCCTATGGTAAAGGTGTCAGGTCATAGATCCCAGGTCAGCTAGATACTTCCTCCTATGGTAAAGGTGTCAGGTCATAGATCCCAGGTCAGCTAGATACTTCCTCCTATGGTAAAGGTGTCATGTCATAGATCCCAGGTCAGCTAGATACTTCCTCCTATGGTAAAGGTGTCAGGTCATACATCCCAGGTCAGCTAGATACTTCCTCCTATGGTAAAGGTCATGATCCCAGGTGTCAGGTCATAGATCCCAGGTCAGCTAGATACTTCCCTCCTATGGTAAAGGTGTCATGTCATACATCCCAGGTCAGCTAGATACTTCCTCCTATGGTAAAGGTGTCAGGTCATACATCCCAGGTCAGCTAGATACTTCCTCCTATGGTAAAGGTGTCATGTCATACATCCCAGGTCAGCTAGATACTTCCTCCTATGGTAAAGGTGTCAGGTCATAGATCCCAGGTCAGCTAGATACTTCCTCCTATGGTAAAGGTGTCAGGTCATAGATCCCAGGTCAGCTAGATACTTCCTCCTATGGTAAAGGTGTCAGGTCATACGATCCCAGGTCAGCTAGATACTTCCTCCTATGGTAAAGGTGTCAGGTCATACATCCCAGGTCAGCTAGATACTTCCACATCCAGTAAAGGTGTCAGGTCATCGATCCCAGGTCAGCTAGATACTTCCTCCTATGGTAAAGTAGTCAGGTCATAGATCCCAGGTCAGCTAGATACTTCCTCCTATGGTAAAGGTGTCAGGTCATACATCCCAGGTCAGCTAGATACTTCCTCCTATGGTAAAGGTGTCAGGTCATCGATCCCAGGTCAGCTATATACTTCCTCCTATGGTAAAGGTGTCAGGTCATACATCCCAGGTCAGCTAGATACTTCCACATCCAGTAAAGGTGTCAGGTCATAGATCCCAGGTCAGCTAAATACTTCCTCCTATGGTAAAGGTGTCAGGTCATAGATCCCAGGTCAGCTAGATACTTTCTCCTATGGTAAAGGTGTCAGGTCATCGATCCCAGGTCAGCTAGATACTTCCACATCCAGTAAAGGTGTCAGGTCATACATCCCAGGTCAGCTAGATACTTCCTCCTTTGGTAAAAGTGTCAGGTCATAGATCCCAGGTCAGCTAGATACTTCCTCCTATGGTAAAGGTGTCAGGTCATCGATCCCAGGTCAGCTAGATACTTCCACATCCAGTAAAGGTGTCAGGTCATAGATCCCAGGTCAGCTAGATACTTCCTCCTATGGTAAAGGTGTCAGGTCATAGATCCCAGGTCAGCTAGATACTTTCTCCTATGGTAAAGGTGTCAGGTCATAGATCCCAGGTCAGCTAGATACTTCCTCCTATGGTAAAGGTGTCAGGTCATAGATCCCAGGTCAGCTAGATACTTCCTCCTATGGTAAAGGTGTCAGGTCATAGATCCCAGGTCAGCTAGATACTTCCTCCTATGGTAAAGGTGTCAGGTCATAGATCCCAGGTCAGCTAGATACTTTCTCCTATGGTAAAGGTGTCAGGTCATACATCCCAGGTCAGCTAGATACTTCCTCCTATGGTAAAGGTGTCAGGTCATAGATCTGATACTTCAAAACAGTTCTGGACACAGTAATTTTGTTTAGTCATCCTGTTGATCACAGGGGACCCAGGTGGCTGCACAGATGATATACAGTCTGATGAAGCTAAAATACTTACCTGAACTTTGACATATACTGCACAAGAAAATGACAATACAAAATGAGATGAAGTCATTGGGACTCTGCTTGTGTGTTGCAGTGAGGCCAGTCTTAGTGTTGCTGTCCTCGATATATTTGGATTTGAGAACTTGAAGAGCAATGGCTTTGAGCAGGTGCGTATATCTTGTGTCACAGTAATTGTTTGCACTTGTCTGTATGTCTGTGTCTGTGATTGGCTATTTTCCTATATCTCTGCAACCATTTGTGATTGGCTGTATGTAACTGTAAGCAACAATTTATGATTGGTTGTCTGTTATCAGATCTGCATCAACCTGGCCAATGAGCAGCTACAGATGTTATTCAATGAGCGGGTGTTCCAGCAAGAGAGACAAGACTGCCTGCTTGAGGGTGTTCCTGTCATTGATGTCAGTTGCCCTGGTAACCACTGTGCTATCAGCCTCTTCCTGGAGGTCAGTTCATCATCATTTGTTGACCCTGATGTGTCATAGATATGTCCCCAGCTTCCTGATACAGTACAGCTTCATATCTATGTCCCCAGCTTCCTGATGCAATACAACCCCATAGATATGTCCCCAGCTTCCTGATACAATAAAATCCCATAGATATGTCCCCAACTTCCTGATACAGTACAGGCCCATAGATATGTCCTCAACTTCCTGATACAGTACAGCCCCATAGATAGTCCTCAACTTCCTGATACAATACAACCCCATAGATATGTCCCCAGCTTCCTGATACAATAAAACCCCATAGATATGTCCCCAGCTTCCTGATACAGTACAGGCCCATAGATATGTCCTCAACTTCCTGATACAGTACAGCCCCATAGATATGTCCCCAACTTCCTGATACAGTACAGCCCCATAGATATGTCCTCAACTTCCTGATACAGTACAGCCCCATAGATATGTCCCCAACTTCCTGATACAGTACAGCCCCATAGATATGTCCTCAACTTCCTGATACAGTACAGCCCCATAGATATGTCCTCAACTTCCTGATACAGTACAGCCCCATATATATGTCCCCAACTTCCTGATACAGTACAGCCCCATAGATATGTCCTCAACTTCCTGATACAGTACAGCCCCATAGATATGTCCTCAACTTCCTGATACAGTACAGCCCCATATATATGTCCCCAACTTCCTGATACAGTACAGCCCCATAGATATGTCCTCAACTTCCTGATACAGTACAGCCCCATATATATGTCCCAAGATTCCTGATACAGTACAGCCCCATAGATATGTCCTCAACTTCCTGATACAGTACAGCCCCATATATATGTCCCAAGATTCCTGATACAGTACAGCCCCGTAGATATGTCCTCAACTTCCTGATACAGTACAGCCCCATAGATATGTCCTCAACTTCCTGATACAGTACAGCCCCATAGATATGTCCTCAACTTCCTGATACAGTACAGCCCCATATATATGTCCCCAACTTCCTGATACAGTACAGCCCCATAGATATGTCCTCAACTTCCTGATACAGTACAGCCCCATATATATGTCCCCAACTTCCTGATACAGTACAGCCCCATAGATATGTCCTCAACTTCCTGATACAGTACAGCCCCATAGATATGTCCTCAACTTCCTGATACAGTACAGCCCCATAGTTGTTGTGTTGCTGGGATATAGTTGTGTTGCTGGGATATAGTTGGTGTGTTGCTGGGATGTCAGTTGGTGTCCTGTGTGTTATTTGCCTCAATAAATGAAATCTAGATGTAGTGTCATGGTGTTGTCATCTTGCAGAAGAACACAGGTATCCTTGCGCTGCTTGATGAAGAGAGTTCACTGAAACAAGCCACAGATAGAAGCCTGGCCACCAAGCTACACCAGGGACCAGGTATATACTGTACTCTTTACATGTCACACACAGCTGGGTCCAGGTATATACTGTACTCCTTTACATGTCACACACACCAGGGTCCAGGTATATACTCTACTCCTTTACATGTCACACACACCAGAGTCCAGGTATATACTCTACTCCGTCACATGTCACACACACCAGGGACCAGGTATATACTGTACTCTTTACATGTCACACACACCAGGGTCCAGGTATATACTGTACCCCTTTACATGTCACACACAACTGGGTCCTGGTAGAAACTGTACTCCCTCATGTCACACACAGCTGGGTCCTGGTAGAAGCTGTACTCCCTCACATGTCACACACAGCTGGGACCAGGTAGAAGCTGTACTCCCTCACATGTCACACACAGCTGGGACTAGGTAGAAGGTGTACTCTGTGACATGTCACACACAGCTGGGACCAGGTAGAAGCTGTACTCTGTGACATGTCACACACAGCTGCATATAGGTAGAAGCTGTACTCCCTCACATGTCACACACAGCTGGGACCAGGTAGAAGCTGTAGTCCCCCAATGTCTCACACAGCTGAGACCAGGTAGAAGGTGTACTCCATGACATGTCACACACAGCTGGATCCAGGTAGAAGCTGTACTCCATGACATGTCACACACAGCTGGATCCAGGTAGAAGGTGTACTCCATGACATGTCACACACAGCTGGATCCAGGTAGAAGGTGTACTCCATGACATGTCACACACAGCTGGATCCAGGTAGAAGCTGTACTCCATGACATGTCACACACAGCTGGATCCAGGTAGAAGCTGTACTCCCTCACATGTCACACACAGCTGGATCCAGGTAGAAGCTGTACTCCCTCACATGTCACACACAGCTGGGACCAGGTAGAAGTGACACCTTGTCAACATGTACACCCTGACTTGGCACCTGGTGAAAGTAGGCAAACACTCACTGCTCTGTCCATCTGCTCCAGGTGAGAAGTACACTGGCGTGTACAAGACTCCCCGTGACAAGGGCACCACCTTCACCATCATCCACTACGCTGGCAGCATCAGCTACGACCTGACAGGCATGCTGGACAAAAACAGAGACACCTTGCGGGGGGCCCTTGGCTTCGTCATGAGATGTAAGCTTACTTCGTGTGCCTTTGTATGTGCTCTGTGTTTGTCTGTACCTTCATAATGGTTTGTGTCTGTATGTACCTTCATACATGGTTTGTGTCTGTATGTACCTTCATACATGGTTTGTGTCTGTATGTACCTTCATACATGGGTTGTGTCTGTATGTACCTTCATACATGGTTTGTGTCTGTATGTACCTTCATACATGGTTTGTGTCTGTATGTACCTTCATACATGGTTTGTGTCTGTATGTACCTTCATACATGGTTTGTGTCTGTATGTACCTTCATACATGGTTTGTGTCTGTATGTACCTTCATACATGGTTTGTGTCTGTATGTACCTTCATACATGGTTTGTGTCTGTATGTACCTTCATACATGGTTTGTGTCTGTATGTACCTTCATACATGGTTGTGTCTGTATGTACCTTCATACATGGTTTGTGTCTGTATGTACCTTCATACATGGTTTGTGTCTGTATGTACCTTCATACATGGTTTGTGTCTGTATGTACCTTCATACATGGTCTGTCTGTATGTACCTTCATACATGGTTTGTGTCTGTATGTACCTTCATACATGGTTTGTGTCTGTATGTACCTTCATACATGGTTTGTGTCTGTATGTACCTTCATACATGGGTTGTGTCTGTATGTACCTTCATACATGGGTTGTGTCTGTATGTACCTTCATACATGGTTTGTGTCTGTATGTACCTTCATACATGGTCTTGTGTCTGTATGTACCTTCATACATGGGTTGTGTCTGTATGTACCTTCATACATGGTTTGTGTCTGTATGTACCTTCATACATGGTTTGTGTCTGTATGTACCTTCATACATGGTTTGTGTCTGTATGTACCTTCATACATGCTCTGTCTGTATGTACCTTCATACATGGTCTGTCAGTATGTACCTTCATACATGCTCTGTGTCTGTATGTAGCTTCATACATGGTCTGTCAGTATGTACCTTCATACATGCTCTGTGTCTGTATGTAGCTTCATACATGGTCTGTCAGTATGTACCTTAATACATGCTCTGTGTCAGTCTGTGCCAGCTTGTATCATGTCTGCCTGTGTGTGTCTTTTCTGGACCATGTCTGTCTCTCAGTCTATTTCTCTGTCTGTCAGTCATGTCCGTACCATGTCTAATGTATGTAATATGTATGTGTGTGCCATGTCCGTACCATGTCTAATGTATGTAATATGTATGTGTGTGCCATGTCCGTACCATGTCTAATGTATGTAATATGTATGTGTGTGCCATGTCCGTACCATGTCTAATGTATGTAATATGTATGTGTGTGCCATGTCCGTACCATGTCTAATGTATGTAATATGTATGTGTGTGCCATGTCCGTACCATGTCTAATGTATGTAATGTGTATGAGTGTGCCATGTCTGTACCATGTCTAACGTATGTAATATGTATGTGTGTGCCATGTCAGTACCATGTCTAATGTATGTAATATGTATGTGTGTGCCATGTCTGTACCATGTCTAATGTATGTAATATGTATGTGTGTGTCATGTCTGTACCATGTCTTATGTATGTAATATGTATGTGTGTGTCATGTCTGTACCATGTCTAATGTATGTAATATGTATGTGTGTGTCATGTCTGTACCATGTCTAATGTATGTAATATGTATGTGTGTGTCATGTCTGTACCATGTCTAATGTATGTAATATGTATGTGTGTACCATGTCTGTACCATGTCTAATGTATATAATATGTCTGCTTTCGATATGTCTGTACCATGTCTGCACCATGTCTGTACCGTGTCTGCACCATGTCTGTACCGTGACTGCACCATGTCTGTACCATGTCTGCACCATGTCTGCACCATGTCTGTACCACGACTGCACCATGTCTGCACCATGTCTGCACCATGTCTGCACCATGTCTGTACCATGTCTGCACCATGTCTGTACCATGTCTGCACCATGTCTGCACCATGTCTGCACCATGTCTGTACCATGTCTGCACCATGTCTGTACCATGTCTGCACCATGTCTGTACCATGTCTGCACCATGTCTGCACCATGTCTGCACCATGTCTGCACCACTGTACGTGTCTGTACCGTGTCTGTACCGTGTCTGCACCATGTCTGTACCATGTCTGCACCATGTCTGTACCGTGCGTCTGCACCATGTCTGTACCATGTCTGCACCATGTCTGCACCATGTCTGTACCACAACTGCACCATGTCTGCACCACCATGTCTGCACCATGTCTGCACCATGTCTGCACCATGTCTGTACCATGTCTGCACCATGTGTCTGCACCATGTCTGTACCATGTCTGCACCATGTCTGCACGTCTGCACCGTGTCTGCACCATGTCTGTACCATGTCTGCACCATGTCTGTACCATGTCTGCACCATGTCTGCACCATGTCTGCACCATGTCTGTACCATGTCTGTACCATGTCTGCACCATGTCTGCACCATGTCTGCACCATGTCTGCACCATGTCTGCACCATGTCTGCACCATGTCTGCACCATGTCTGTACCATGTCTGTACCATGTCTGTACCATGTCTGTACCATGTCTGTACCATGTCTGTCTGTGTGTTACAGCCAGCACAAGTCTGCTGATTAAGGACCTGTTCCAGGCTGGGATCACTAAGACAGGTTCTATTAAGCCCAGCTCCCGTCAGCTCTCTCTTCAGAGGGAGCTCAGCTTCAAGAGGCAGCTCAAGACATCAAAGTCCCCTTTTGAGTTCTTCAAGAAGATAAAAAGTCCAAAGATGGAAAGAGTGAGTGAAGTCAGAAAAGTGTTGCAAGCCATTACAGAAGGCATTGAAATGTGATAACTTCATTTGTATTTTTAAGTGTTACACACTGTTAGATGGTATAATTCTTATTCAATCATTTTGACAAATAATTTTTCTGATGTATACAATTTTCTATCCCAGATGAGACCCCTGTTTCTGTTACGTGCAGAAGTACATAAAATAAACTGGTGTGAAACCAACTGACAACAAAGGGATGGGATGTAATTAACAAATCACTACCAAGGTTACAGTGGCAGTACAGTGCAGTATGATATGTGTCTTTACAAGTTATTGATGAGGCCAGTATGATATGTGTCTTTACAAGTTATTGATGAGGCCAGTATGATATGTGTCTTTACAAGTTATTGATGAGGCCAGTATGATATGTGTCTTTACAAGTTATTGATGAGGCCAGTATGATATGTGTCTTTACAAGTTATTGATGAGGCCAGTATGATAAACAAGGACCAGGGATGGGATGCTTGTCAGGTGGGATGCTGGATGTGATCCGAGGGTCTTTGTGCATGTCACCCTTGTCAGGTGGGATGCAGGATGTGATCCGAGGGTCTTTGTGCATGTCACCCTTGTCAAGTGGGATGCAGGATGGGATCCCAGGATATTTTGTGTTGCTCCTATCTGGTATCTAGCATGGCAATGAGACATTGTAACATACTAGCAAACCTATGGATGTAAATTTACCCCTCCATAAGTCCAAAGTCAGTATCCTTCACGTAATATGTTACATTGACGAGGGTGTCAGCCACAATGGGGCTCAGCAGTATAAAAATGTCACATGGTACATAGTTACAAAAACCAACATGCTAACTGAGGTTTAACAAAAGTTCATAACTGCCTACTGTTTCAGCCTGAGCAGAGACGTGAGAGGCTGACTGCCACTGGCACAACGAGGAAGGGCCCAGCCACCATGGCCTATCAGTTCAAGGTGAGTCACGTCCCATCAGTTCAAGGTGAGTCACGTCCCATCAGTTCAAGGTGAGTCACGTCCCATCAGTTCAAGGTGAGTCATGTCCCATCAGTTCAAGGTGAGTCACGTCCCATCAGTTCAAGGTGAGTCACGTCCCATCACTTCAAGGTGAGTCTAATCCCATCACTTCAAGGTAAGTAATGTCCCGTCACTTCAAGGTGAGTCACATCTCGTCACTTCAAGGTGAGTCGATTCCCATCACTTCAAGGTGAGGCAAGTCCCATCACAAGGTGAGAGAAGTCCCATCACTTCAAGGTGAGGCAAGTCCCATCACTTCAAGATGAGGCAAGTCCCATCACTTCAAGGTGATTCAAGTCCCATCACTTCAAGGTGAGGCAAGTCCCATCACAAGGTGAGGCAAGTCCCATCACAAGGTGAGTCTAGTTCCATCCCAAGGTGAGTCTAGTCCCTTCCCAAGGTGAGGCAAGTCCCATCACAAGGTGAGTCTAGTTCCATCCCAAGGTGAGTCTAGTCCCATCCCAAGGTGAGTCTAGTTGCATCCCAAGGTGAGACAAGTCCCATCCCAAGGTGAGTCTAGTTCCCATCCCAAGGTGAGTCTAGTCCCATCCCAAGGTGAGGCAAGTCCCATCACAAGGTGAGTCTAGTTCCATCCCAAGGTGAGTCTAGTCCCATCCCAAGGTGAGTCTAGTCCCATCACAAGGTGAGTCTAGTTCCATCCCAAGGTGAGTCTAGTTCCATCCCAAGGTGAGTCTAGTTCCATCCCAAGGTGAGTCTAGTCCCATCCCAAGGTGAGTCTAGTTCCATCCCAAGGTGAGTCTAGTTCCATCCCAAGGTGAGTCTAGTCCCATCACAAGGTGAGTCTAGTTCCATCACAAGGTGAGAGAAGTCCCATCACTTCAAGGTGAGGTCAAGTCCCATCACAAGGTGAGGCAAGTCCCATCACTTCAAGGTGAAGTCCCATCACAAGGTGATCCCCATCCTTCAAGGTGAGGCAAGTCCCATCCCAAGGTGAGGCAAGTCCCATCACAAGGTGAGTCTAGTTCCATCCCAAGGTGAGTCTAGTCCCATCCCAAGGTGAGTCTAGTCCCATCCCAAGGTGAGTCTAGTTCCATCCCAAGGTGAGTCTAGTCCCATCCCAAGGTGAGTCTAGTTGCATCCCAAGGTGAGTCAAGTCCCATCACAAGGTGAGTCTAGTTCCATCCCAAGGTGAGTCTAGTCCCATCCCAAGGTGAGGCAAGTCCCATCACAAGGTGAGTCTAGTTCCATCCCAAGGTGAGTCTAGTCCCATCCCAAGGTGAGTCTAGTCCCATCACAAGGTGAGTCTAGTTCCATCCCAAGGTGAGTCTAGTTCCATCCCAAGGTGAGTCTAGTTCCATCCCAAGGTGAGTCTAGTCCCATCCCAAAGGTGAGTCTAGTTCCATCCCAAGGTGAGTCTAGTTCCATCCCAAGGTGAGTCTAGTCCCATCCCAAGGTGAGTCTAGTTCCATCCCAAGGTGAGTCTAGTCCCATCACAAGGTGAGTCTAGTCCCATCCCAAGGTGAGTCTAGTTCCATCACAAGGTGAGTCTAGTTCCATCCCAAGGTGAGTCTAGTCCCATCCCAAGGTGAGTCTAGTTCCATCCCAAGGTGAGTCTAGTCCCATCCCAAGGTGAGTCTAGTTCCATCACAAGGTGAGAGAAGTCCCATCACTTCAAGGTGAGGCAAGTCCCATCACAAGGTGAGGCAAGTCCCATCACTTCAAGATGAGGCAAGTCCCATCACAAGGTGAGGCAAGTCCCATCACTTCAAGGTGAGGCAAGTCCCATCCCAAGGTGAGGCAAGTCCCATCACAAGGTGAGGCAAGTCCCATCACTTCAAGATGAGGCAAGTCCCATCACAAGGTGATTCGAGTCCCATCACTTCAAGGTGAGGCAAGTCCCATCCCAAGGTGAGGCAAGTCCCATCACAAGGTGAGTCTAGTTCCATCCCAAGGTGAGTCTAGTCCCTTCCCAAGGTGAGACAAGTCCCATCACAAGGTGAGTCTAGTTCCATCCCAAGGTGAGTCTAGTCCCATCCCAAGGTGAGTCTAGTTGCATCCCAAGGTGAGACAAGTCCCATCACAAGGTGAGTCTAGTTCCATCCCAAGGTGAGTCTAGTCCCATCCCAAGGTGAGGCAAGTCCCATCACTAAGGTGAGTCTAGTTCCATCCCAAGGTGAGTCAAGTCCCATCCCAAGGTGAGTCTAGTCCCATCACAAGGTGAGTCTCTAGTTCCATCCCAAGGTGAGTCTAGTTCCATCCCAAGGTGAGTCTAGTTCCATCCCAAGGTGAGTCTAGTCCCATCCCAAGGTGAGTCTAGTTCCATCCCAAGGTGAGTCTAGTTCCATCCCAAGGTGTGAGTCTAGTCCCATCCCAAGGTGAGTCTAGTTCCATCCCAAGGTGAGTCTAGTCCCATCACAAGGTGAGTCTAGTCCCATCCCAAAGGTGAGTCTAGTTCCATCACAAGGTGAGTCTAGTTCCATCCCAAGGTGAGTCTAGTCCCATCCCAAGGTGAGTCTAGTTCCATCCCAAAGGTGAGTCTAGTCCCATCCCAAAGGTGAGTCTAGTTCCATCCCAAGGTGAGTCTAGTCCCATCCCAAGGTGAGTCCTAGTTCCATCCCAAGGTGAGGCAAGTCCCATCCCAAAGTGAGTCTAGTTCCATCCTAAGGTGAGACAAGTCCCATCCCAAGGTGAGGCAAGTCCCATCCCAAGGTGTGAGGCAAGTCCCATCACTTCAAGGTGAGGCAAGTCCCATCCCAATGTGAGGGCAAGTCCCATCCCAAGGTGAGGCAAGTCCCATCTCAAGGTGAGGCAAGTCCCATCCCAAGGTGAGTCCTAGTTCCATCCCAAGGTGAGACAAGTCCCATCCCAAGGTGAGGCAAAGTCCCATCCCAAGGTGAGGCAAGTCCCATCACTTCAAGGTGAGGCAAGTCCCATCCCAAGGTGAGGCCAAGTCCCATCACTTCAAGGTGAGGCATGTCCCATCCCAAGGTGAGGCAAGTCCCATCCCAAGGTGAGGCAAGTCCCATCACTTCAAGGTGAGTCTAGTTCCATCCCAAGGTGAGTCTAGTCCCTTCCCAGGTGAGACAAGTCCCATCACAAGGTGAGTCTAGTTCCATCCCAAGGTGAGTCTAGTCCTTCCCAAGGTGAGACAAGTCCCATCACTGGGTGAGTCTAGTTCCATCCCAAGGTGAGTCTAGTCCCATCCCAAGGTGAGTCTAGTTGCATCCCAAGGTGAGACAAGTCCCATCACAAGGTGAGTCTAGTTCCATCCCAAGGTGAGTCTAGTCCCATCCCAAGGTGAGAGGCAAGTCCCATCACAAGGTGAGTCTAGTTCCATCCCAAGGTGAGTCAAGTCCCATCCCAAGGTGAGTCTAGTCCCATCACAAGGTGAGTCTAGTTCCATCCCAAGGTGAGTCTAGTTCCATCCCAAGGTGTGAGTCTAGTTCCATCCCAAGGTGAGTCTAGTCCCATCCCAAGGTGAGTCTAGTTCCATCCCAAGGTGAGTCTAGTTCCATCCCAAAGGTGGAGTCTAGTCCCATCCCAAGGTGAGTCTAGTTCCATCCCAAGGTGAGTCTAGTCCCATCACAAGGTGAGTCTAGTCCCATCCCAAGGTGAGTCTAGTTCCATCACAAGGTGAGTCTAGTTCCATCCCAAGGTGAGTCTAGTCCCATCCCAAGGTGAGTCTAGTTCCATCCCAAGGTGTGAGTCTAGTCCCATCCCAAGGTGAGTCTAGTTCCATCCCAAGGTGAGGCAAGTCCCATCCCAAAGTGAGTCTAGTTCCATCCTAAGGTGAGACAAGTCCCATCCCAAGGTGAGGCAAGTCCCATCCCAAGGTGAGGCAAGTCCATCACTTCCTAAGGTGAGGCAAGTCCCATCCCAATGTGAGGCAAGTCCCATCCCAAGGTGAGGCAAGTCCCATCTCAAGGTGAGGCAAGTCCCATCCCAAGGTGAGTCTAGTTCCATCCCAAGGGTGAGTCTAGTCCCATCCCAAGGTGTGTCTAGTTCAATCCTAAGGTGAGACAAGTCCCATCCCAAGGTGAGGCAAGTCCCATCCCAAGGTGAGGCAAGTCCCATCACTTCAAGGTGAGGCAAGTCCATCCCAAGGTGGGAGCCAAGTCCCATCACAAGGTGAGTCTAGTTCCATCACAAGGTGAGTCTAGTCCCTTCCCAAGGTGAGACAAGTCCCATCACAAGGTGAGTCTAGTTCCATCCCAAGGTGAGTCTAGTCCCATCCCAAGGTGAGTCTAGTTGCATCCCAAGGTGAGACAGAGTCCCATCACAAAGGTGAGTCTAGTTCCATCCCAAGGTGAGTCTAGTCCCATCCCAAGGTGAGGCAAGTCCCATCACAAGGTGAGTCTAGTCCCATCCCAAAGGTGAGTCTAGTTCCATCCCAAGGTGAGTCTAGTCCCATCCCAAGGTGAGTCTAGTTGCATCCCAAGGTGAGACAAGTCCCATCGTCACAAGGTGAGTCTAGTTCCATCCCAAGGTGAGTCCTAGTCCCATCCCAAGGTGAGGCAAGTCCCATCACAAGGTGAGTCTAGTTCCATCCCAAGGTGAGTCTAGTTCCATCCCAAGGTGAGTCTAGTTCCATCCCAAGGTGAGTCTAGTCCCATCCCAAGGTGAGTCTAGTTCCATCCCAAGGTGAGTCTAGTTCCATCCCAAGGTGAGTCTAGTCCCATCACAAGGTGAGTCTAGTTCCATCACAAGGTGAGAGAAGTCCCATCACTTCAAGGTGAGGCAAGTCCCATCACAAGGTGAGGCAAGTCCCATCACTTCAAGATGAGGCAAGTCCCATCACAAGGTGATTCGAGTCCCATCACTTCAAGGTGAGGCAAGTCCCATCCCAAGGTGAGGGCAAGTCCCATCACAAGGTGAGTCTAGTTCCATCCCAAGGTGAGTCTAGTCCTTCCCAAGGTGAGACAAGTCCCATCACAAGGTGAGTCTAGTTCCATCCCAAGGTGAGTCTAGTCCCATCCCAA